TGGGATGTTCTCCACTTACCCCAGAGGACGATCCTGGAGAACCAGGAGGGCCAGGAGGTCCTGGAGGGCCTGGGATACTGATAGCTGATGAAGAAAAGAGTTAAAATTATTTCTGATAAGGATTTATGTATTATTACCGATTATTATTAATAATAATTAAGGTGATGGTGATGATAGAAAAGTTAATGTGCTTTAACTCTATCTCTGAAATCACTGAACTATAATAGTCCAAGAACACCTAGAAGATGTCTGCTCCCAGAACTCACGGTGTCTGGCTGCCCCAGGCAGTGATGGGGTTCCTGGGGGTCCAGGGGGGCCTGGTGGACCTGGAGATCCTGGACGGCCATCATAACCAATCCCTGGGGCCCCGGGTGGGCCCTGCGGACCAGGGGGGCCTCTGATAGAGTCACCCTTAGGACCCTGAGAAGAAAAGAAAATATCCACAAAATGTTTAACTGAGAGCTTAGAGTGCAAGAAATGATTACACCTTAGTCAGTGAACCTTGCTATTAATGATGATGACAATCATAATGCACAAAACCATAGCTCCTGTGACCATATAAGTATTTGATTTAGTGATGCCTTTCTCCATCAACTCGTCTGTTTCTAGTTTCAGTGATTGCTTTTACAACTTATTTTGATCTGAGTACTGGATCGACAACAGTACATTAAGAATCTAGTGCGGTATGTAACTCAATGTGTTTGGATTAACTCCTTCACATCAGGAGTTACAGGGGGTGGACAAAATAATGGAAAAACCTCATGAAAAATGACTCATATTTTGAAGGAAATCACAATTAAAAAAGATTGTATACATGTTTCATATTAATGTCTAATTACCAATGTGTTTCCACTATAAAAGGTGTCTTAAAATCAACACTTTAATATGTGAGTTTTTAAAGTAACATGAGACAGATTTTGAAACAGGTCAATCGTTGGGTCCAGTCATTACTCTGCATTGTAGACTTATGGCCAAGGAATATAATGCCATTTTAGGTGAGCAGTTAGATCCTATGGTGCAAACTCTGTTTCCTCAAGACATTCCCATATTACAAGATGATAATGCCCCCATACACACTTCTAAACAGATTCGAGAGTGGTTTCATGAACACCAGGATGAAGTCAAACACCTTCCATAGCCCCCCCAATCACCAGATCTGAACATCATTGAACCTTTATTGGAAGTTCTGGAACAGAGTGTGGATAAGATTTCCACTTCCTTCACCTCTCAAAGAACTGGAGGTTTTCCTTCTTGAAGAATGTTCATCGGACCCCACAATATATACAGTAGTTCTAAGGCAACTAAGTTCAGCTAAGTTTGAGGTAATTCAAATGTGTTTTGACCACTTGCCCTTTTCAATCCACCAATTTTGAGACTTACAGCGATGGGCAAAGCTTTATTTGTTTTTGAAACTCCTGACACACTGGAAACAGGATTTACTGTGATTCGCCTTCTTATCTTCACTGTAGCGAAAATTGATGCAAACAGGGAAAACCTACTGTATATGCTTTGTGATAACAAAAAGTCATATAAATTGCCCATTGAGATGTGGGTGCATATCGTTTTTTTGAGTGAATGAGATATCTCCACAACAATATATTCAACAATAAAGAGATTTACAACTATGATGTTTTAGATAATTATGGTTAATGATACTAAAATACATCACAAGTTCAGCTACTTTGGCAGTTAGTGAACATGCAATTAAAATAACTAAAGAAAGTTATTTTTATGGTTGTATCCAGTATATTGTTAATTTATAGCACCCTAGAAGTACATTTAAATCAAATCTGGCCCATCACAGCAAATGAGTTTGCTTCAGTTTGATTCAGTGTGTCTTGAGGAAAGGATGGGATGGTATCCACTCTTTTGACACTTACTGGCAGTCCAGGGCTGCCTGGTGGCCCTGGAGATCCCTGCAGTCCACCATACCGGGGATCATAATAACCTCCAGCTGGTTCTCCCTTCTCTCCCTTCAGCCCAGGGTCCCCTCGTTCACCTTTCATCTCCGCCTGTGAAGACAGAGCTCCAGGTCAGTGCGTGTTCCTGACATTCCTTCTGTTTTCCCCAACCTATCAGATATATTTCCTAAAACGAGTTTTTTTTATACAGCTTTACAATATATTAAATCCAAAACAAATATTTTCATCAAGTAATTTCTGTAAAACAGTTTGTAACTTCTAGTGTCATACGAGCAACATAAGCTTTATTTCTGGGATTTATGTTGGGATTCAAATTTAGGAAATATTTAAGGCAATTTAAAATGATAAGAGACTTTTAGAACAGTTATCAAAATAAAAATATACCCAATGTGCACTAAAAAGGGTGAGGCAAACAGTTTATTATTCATACCCTATATGAACAGATACATATTTAGATAAACAAGGAAAAAATACATTGCTTACTTACTCTTAACGCATAAATATCAAAGTCAGAGCTGAAACCTAAGATGAAATCATAAAATAACGTCATTTCATAGAAGCCACAATTGTAATATATAAAAAAGAACAAGTAGAGGTTAATTCCACGTAGCGACGTGAAAAGAAAAATACTGTGAAGCTTTCTTCATCTGAAGCATAGTACAATACGTTTCATTTTGCTTTCCATGGTATAACATGAGATCAATGTGAACTTGTTCCTTTGCAGCTTGCATAGCTCTCTACTATAACTTACAAATCTGACATTAAAAAAGTCTTTAAATCTGTTTAAAGCATTCCAGCTTCATTAGGAATGTCAATCTGACTCCTAAACCAGGAATTCCCAATTCTGAAACCCTCATCCTAGCAGCAAAGTAAAGATTTATTCAGGGTGCAGGTTCAGTTCTTGTTCTCAGATGCTGCTGTTCAAACCTGTCTCTCCATACACACAACAGACGAATGACACACAAGTGTTGGGTGGGTTTAATCAGATAGGGTACTCTTGACTTTTGACAAAAAACAAAAAATGACAGCTCCTGCTACTTTCTGGAAACTTGCAGGCTTGAAGTACTGGTAGTGACAGAGACAGTACTCCTCCCATTAATGCTAATTCTCATGTTAATTCATTATATGTCAAAATATACTGTAATGGCTCTCACAGGTTCTGGGCTTCATTTTTCCAGTTCAGTCACAGCAATACATTTACAGCTTAAATGCCTAGAAATTCCATGTTGGGTGGGTATGTAATTAAAAAAAATTATCCAAAAAAGAATATCACTAATATCGTGTAGAAGTAAATAACATGTAAAACTTCTTATTGAGACTACACCTCATTTTCCAAAGGCAAAAACTATTCTCTTTTGGGTTTTTTTGGGATACACGAACTGGACTAAAAGTTGTACCCATATACACCAAGGTAGATGCAGGTAATGTTGCATTAAATTTGTCTTTGCCACTGTCCGATATTAAGGCTATCAACATTAAAGAGCCAATAAAAGCCGAGTTGAAATTCTAAATTAAGGCTGTATTAAAAAGAGTCAAACTGCTCATCAGCACACAACATACTCTGAAAGGTAGAATAAAAGGTAGGAAGAAGACAAAGACGGATGCAAAGACCAGTAGCTCCTCATTCCTTACATATCTGGGACTATTAAGTATTTATTTAGTATCCTAAATGTAATCCAACAGCAATTCACCAACTACTTTTCTAAGCCTGAAAAAGACATTACCATCAACATCCACATTCACATCATCATTTATTCTGTTATGAACCGTGGGTTTAGTAAAACAAAGTTTTTTTTTTACCTGGTACACCAGGTGCCCCTGGATATCCACGATCCCCCTTCTCTCCCTTTATTTCTATGACAATCATAGAAAAGAAAACATCATTCAATTTTCAATGTTCAAAGAACCTCAGGTATTTTTATACCTGAAGATGGATAAGATTCTGTAGTCACTACCTCTTGCTAATCTCTCTGACATTAACGAGAACTTTGGCAGAAACACCAACTAGTACACTAGTACAGTGCCATTGGGATTCAGGTACCTAGAACTCCCCCAACACTGACTAAAATTTGTTTGCACCTACTGTACTTAATCTCTCTTCAAAAATAGACCCTTATTGTCATTTGTCTATAAATGGTTGAACCGGTGAGAGTAGAGAATATAACGTCAAATTAAGAACTACAAAGACTTATAAAGTCCACTTCATATATAGTCAGTCAATGTTTTTGTACAGTAAATCAACAGATTTACAAAAGATATCACTGTCATATACATAAGTACGTAACATCAAAAGAAACATCACTTTTAACTCCAACAAATTCACAAAAGTATAAGAAAAATGCCAACCTCTTTTGGAAAAGGGACACTAGCATTATATTGAACATATAAATGTTAATTAATTTGGCCAATTAACAGGGTTAATCAACAGGGTCTAGTGTGTGTGGTAATTGCTGGAGTAATACAAGCTATACATCTGAAAAGCATTCTTTGCACCAGGTTTGTACAATCCTTTGCACCAGGTCCAATTCTGTCATATGACTCTCACACACAACCTGGATAAGCACACACCTATTCACTTGTCTTAGGTGCCACATGTCATCCCATAAATACAGTCTGTGATGGGGTACAAGTTTGGACATTCATGGAATAAACGTCAAATTCTCATCTCACAAGACATCTATTATGATTCAAGCAGCATGAGGACACACTTGTTCCTCCTGGATTTGCTGAATTCATAGGAAGAGCAGAAAGTGATGTCTCAGTATATCAATGTAGTGCCTTGCAATCAGGTTGCCATCAATCACTACAGGTGAAGATCTGAGCAAGAGCGCGTAAGAGATATGCAGAGAGATAAGAGAGATAAGCCCAACAATAATGGTCTGTACAGGAAGGAAATTTTAGAGACACAGATGAATTTGAAAATATATTGAGTTTTCAACTTTATAAAGGTTTTTTCATAATGATATTTTGGAATAATTATAAGCAAATTCTAGTGCTTTTTTTCTTGTCCAGATGTGACAAATGATAATGAAAATAGAACAGGACTGACATGACCCTCCTTAACCTATTCTTAAATCAGTTCATATCAAAAACATTAAAGAAATTCAACTTACCTGGTTGTTGGCGTACAGTTGCATCATATCGCTGAAAAAATAAGGAGTAATTAATTAATATCTGTCTGGTTAATCATCCATTTTGTCTTTACACTTAGTAAATGGAAGCCATCGGAACTGATAAAGATTCACATAAGAACATAAGAATGGCTACAAATAAGAGGAGGTATTTCAGCCCATCTAGCCCATTTGGTAGGTTTAGCAACTTACAAGAATGCAGCTCATTCAGATGTTTCTTGAAGGAAAGCAGGGTACTGGCTCTTGGGTAGTTTGTTCCATATTTCCACAGATGCTTTATCTAAAGAAGTACCTCCTATTCTCAGTGGATTTAAGTTTCCACTTGTGACCTCTGATTTGTGTTTTCACAATTTATTCTAAGTCCAATGTGACTTTCCTTTAAGTCCTGGAATATATATATATACTCACTCTTCTTCTTACCCTATTCTAAAAATTATGTGACCAAAATATTATAAATGAATCCTTCCTAGTGCATTTTCAATAGACAGAATGTTAATCCCTATATTTTGTTATCATCTTCAAACTTGTCTAGTAGTGCTCTACTACCCAAAATAGACTCTTCAATGGTAATATTAATTTATAACGTAATATTTTTTACAATGTTTACTTCTTCCTCGGTGTGTAATTTCTTCATCTAGATGTTATAATTTGCTGTCTTGGTAAGATTTTACTTCATCCTTAATGGTTTCTTTTGGTGTTGCAGTACTGAAAGATCTTATTTAGTTTAGCTTCCATTGCAATATTACTTTCCACCTTTCTCAGCCATTTATAACCTCCCTCAATAGAGGAGAATCATAAAGCCGGAAGGATCTTTTGGGGTAAAAAGTGTTTGCCACGTACAGTAGCTGTTATGATAAGCCACAATCCGTGGTGATCCAAAGAACACAAACTGAAACGGCATTTTAAGGAATTTTATCTCATAGGTGAGGTGCGTACACAACAGACAGATTCACATGGAGTACTCACCAAGAACTGGCTGACATCGACAGGTGGTCCTGGGGGTCCTGGTGGACCAGGAGGGCCAGGAGGACCCTGAGATAAAGCAATTAGTTTATGACTTTTGGTCATTTCTCTTACATTTATACAGTTTAAACGGTTAAATGTTGATGTATTTTGATGTGTACGAAGCACAATACCATTGTTCTACAATATTACAGGGAAATAAAATTCCTGTTGGATTTTTGTTTCGCTTACACTCAATACTATCCTCTTTTTCTCAAACCGAAAAATCTATTCCTCAAACTCAAAGAATAGCAAAAAAAAAGCACTTTTAGGTTATAATCTGTATTATCTGTTTGCTGAATAAGTGAGGCCCTTCAATCAAAGAGTTAAATCTTTTAAAAAGCGTGCAAGACAGTCTGTTTATTTTTCACAGGTTTCCTGAGTGTTTGATGTTAAGAAATAAAATACAATATTTTGAACAATAAAACAAGTACAATTGTGAACATTCCTAAAAGCAATTCCATACTGAAACAACTTACGGAATAGCCATATCTGCCAATCGGGTCTGCAGGCTCACCCTTTTCACCTTTGTACCCGTTAACACCAGGACGACCCTGAAATTAAAACAGGTGAACGTATTTAAATATAGAACCAGTTTTTGCAGTGTTAATTCTTCATGTACTCAGTAAACCATCCCTCCATTTTTTCAGTTTTATCCAATAAAACAATAGGACTGCAGCGGAGTTACAGCCTATCCTACCAAGAAACAGGAGCAAGGCAGGATACACCTTGGATGTGATTCCAGTCCATTGCAGGGCACACAAAGACCCAACTCACACAAACTCACACCGAGGCAAATTTTCCCAAAAGCCAGTTAACCTACCAGTATTTATCTGGACTGTGGGAGGAAACTAGAGCACTCAGAAGACACCCATATAAACACGGAGAACATTCAAACTCCACACAGATAAAATCCCAGGAACTGAAACCAGGACCTCAGTGCTGCACGGGAGCTTTGCTAAGAACTGCAATATTATGCTATCCAGACTCAGTAATAATTAATATAAATACTCACAGGTCTACCAGGCATTCCAATTTCTCCTTTCTGTCCTGGAGTACCATGAGGCCCCTAAAACGATAACAAAAGATGCAACATACAATGAATACCTATTGTAAGTTCAAGCTCAAGAATATCTGTCTTAGTATAGTATGGTTATTCTCCTTGCTTTGAGTATACAATATTTCACTCTTCCAAAATTTTCTAGAGTGTAGGGAAGGTTGCTATAAAAAGAGAAGAATACAAAGAAGAGTTAATAAACTTTTTTGTGCTGTTTCTTTACAAAAAGTTTAGTTTCTTACTGTACCAATTTTGTGCTATTCGTTGGCTATTTGACCTTCTGTTTTGGGGTCGTTTTTATACACAAGAATTCAATCTGAATTCAATCTGAATTTGATTCAATCTGTTTTGTAAGAGCTCAGTCATCCAGGTTAGAATATGATTTTTGTCCCTATTTGGTTTTATTTGTTGCAGAAACTTAAGCCAGGCTTTTATTACATCGGGGTTGGATTAATATAATGCACACTTTACCAGGTTTCACAAAAAATCTTTATATATAAGCTTCAAATTAAAGGTACAGCTGCAGCCAGTTTAATCAAATTCTGCTTTTGATTTCATATAGCCCATGTTTTTCTCAAGTTTAAATTTTGAGTTCATAGTGGCTCAAAGAGAAGAACACAATTGTGCTCCTCAGTTTTAAAATCCTACAAACATTCTAGCATACTGAACTTGTCAAATGTTTTGCACTAATCATATCCTGTTCTCTACACTTTAGACTTAGACTGTCGATGCTGACTTGGTTTGCATGCCCTTTGTCATACAGTTTCTGTTTTTTACTCCTTTACTAGTTTTTTCTTGAAAATGCTGTATTCAATTTAACTGTGGTTACCTGATGAGTCAATGGTCATGTAACTGACCTCTGCTGAGCTGAAACGCCTGATTAGTCAAATTTGAGCCTTCCAATGTGAGCCTAGCCTGTCATACTTTATCTGGAACCTGGGCTATCGAACAGCAGGCTTTTGGCAAGGTCAGACGGACAGTACAGAGTCAAAGGCTTTCAGAGTGCCAACCAACAAGCCATAAATGCTCCCATCAATATCTGAGATCAAAACAACCTGGCAAATTGACGGAAATGACAGCCAAACTTAAGCATCAAGAAGTGTGAGGCTACCAGGTCTAGTAACTCTAATAGGCTTGAGACCATGCACAAAGGCTTAAGCAAAGATCCTGAAATGTTTGCCAAGTATACTTTGAGTTTAGTATATGAAAGAGTTTCTATTATTCAACAGATATTACAGGAATTCAAGGACTATGGAGATAAGGTCCTGGTCCTGAAGCATAAACCACAATGACCTCCCATGTGCCAGGGTGCTGGTGCAGAGTAGAATGTGTGCACAACAGAATGTGGGCTACTGCCTGGGACAGGCCCAAGCATGACAACCAGAGTCAAAGTGTACAGACACTCTGACACTAGCCAAAGAACAACACAAGAATGACAAGGAGCACACTTCCATCTATGTCAAAGTCTTCGCATTATGGAGAGTGGAAGCACACTTTGTTGTTTGAAATAATAGCAGAGACTCATCCAAAAAAGTGAGGATGAAGGACAGCATTATAGTATAAAGTAAAAAGTGTATAAAGTCCTGCCAGACCAGTACAAAACTTTAAAGCATCATCACCTTCCAGAAAGAAAAAAACATGCTTGAAGTCTGCACAGGATTCTGCCATAGATCTGTGGTAGAGGAGTAAATCCTCCTCAACAAACAGGAGGGAGGACAGGTCCAATGAAAGGAGAAGCAGAGTTAGGGCTAGTGTTGTATTGGCAATAGGGGCTGACAGCAGCAGCTCCAGGATTCTACACTGCTCATCCAACTCCTCCAGCAATCTCTTCATCTGTTGCTTAACGGATCAGGCTGGGGAACCACCAGCAGCTCCAATAAGGAGTGCACCCTCGGATGGGATGGCAGGCAAGACCAACTAATAGATCGCTTTCTAATTAATGATGATTGTTTTCCATCCTTAAAAGGGAGTGATACAGTTCCTGATATTGGGGACATTTTCTCATTGTATATGCTTTAAAATTAAATTAGGGAACTTAGGTGAATAGGAGTTTTTTATCAATCTTCTTATCTTTGATTGTGTTTCTGTGATTGAAAATGTGTGAAGGGACCTAAAATATTTGTTGAATATCTCAAGTATAAAAAAAGTGTATAATTTTCGATACAATAAATATAGGCGGTTTAAAAATGTGTTGATTACTACAACAGAATATACATTTTAAAATATTTTTTTGCACTATAAAAGCCACTTAATGACAGAAAAACATAAAAATAAAATAAGAACATGATTGATCTAAGTGCCATTCACAACTGATTTATCTTTTAATAACAACAAGTTAAACTGTAATGTGTCTCATTACTTACAGTGGGTCCAGCAGGTCCTCTGTCACCCTGTATAAACACAGGCAGAAGTCATAAAATGATTCAAGAAATAACCAGACACTATCTTAGAAATTCAACCCAGACAACAACAAAGTAAAGCTGTGAATCTGTTACCTTCTCCCCCTTCGGTCCACCTAGTGGGTAGAAGAGTGGATTGCCATCTGGCCCAATGACCAAACCTGGGTCTCCCTTTTCTCCCTAAGCAAAAGAGAAATAGAAAAAACACACAGCTTGAGTATTGAAAATAACCCTGCATGACATCCCCAACCCAAAATTGTGTGTTCTTCTCTCAAATAAGAGGTATTAATGAAAGTTTTACATTTGTCACAGAAGTTGGAAGGGACGAATGGCAGCAAAAAAAGACCCTATGCATAGCAGTGGAATGGGGATTAGCCGGGGTTTAGCTGTTCAGGAAATGCCGTAAAGAAACCAATGCCCTCAGGCCACAAATGTGGAGCAACCTGGTGCTAGGCAGGT